ATTACAGTTACAGTCACAACACTGTTACAATCACAACAGCATTACAGTTACAGTCACAACATCGTTACAGTCAGCACTGTTACAATCACAACATCATTACAGTCACAGCATTGTTACAATCACAACATCATTACAGTCACAACACTGTCACAATCACAACAGCGTTACAATCACAACATCGTTACAGTCACAACACTGTTACAATCACAACAGCGTTACAGTCACAACACTGTTACGGTCACAACATCGTTACAGTCACAACACTGTTACGGTCACAACATCGTTACAGTCACAACACTGTTACGGTCACAACATCGTTACAGTCACAACACTGTTACGGTCACAACATCGTTACAGTCACAACACTGTTACGGTCACAACATCGTTACAGTCACAACACTGTTACGGTCACAACATCGTTACAGTCACAACACTGTCACAATCACAACACCGTTACAATCACAACATCATTACGGTCACAACACTGTTACAATCACAACAGCATTACAGTCACATGACAATCTTTAGTCATTCTTGACTAGTACTCATAGTGATGTCATTAATCCTGAGCATTAAATTCAGTCTCCATGTCTAGAGAGTAGACGTGAAGAGAGCAACCACACACCACAGCCATATCTGGTATCTGCTTTTTCGGTGTTGTCTTAATGATCTGTGTTCAGCTCCGTCAGGCTGGAGTCGCCATCAGCTGCAGTCGTCCAGCAGACGGTAATGATGAAGATTTCTCCTGTGTGTTAGAGCAGCAGCACACGTGTCCACTCCGTTATTCAGAGGAACGGCAGGGCTGCTGAATGTGCTGATGGTGTAACGCCCTCGTCGTACATCAGGGGGTGCCGCAGCATCACGAGGCTGCGTGAGCGAGCGAGGGCAAGTCAGGCCACCAGTAGTCGTGAGATTCGGGTCATGAATGACTGAACCTTCAGGATTTCAGCTTCTTACATGAATGTACATCAATCTGCTGGGTCAGAAGAGAGTTTGAGCAGGATGAAGTTTTATAGTGTATGTGTCTCTGAACATATGAACTGTTCCAGAATGATGAAGAAACAAGAGGATGATGGGAGAAAACGTTTATCTGCTTGTTCTAAGTACAGTTGTGTAGGACTGTCACATATTATTATATTGTTCTATTAGTCTATAAAACTATTGTTTTAATTGTATTTATGAAGAGTGTTTAAGCACATCAATAATCAGTTTTAGTTTCAGAGTCTTCACTGTTGTGAAACTATTTCAACATCTTACAGTGAAATTAAAGGTTCATCTTTAAAGATCTTAATGTTTGTGGAACATTATTAAATCCAACCTCATTCAATTCATTTAAGATCATCCGTGTTGTTTCTTTTGATATAATAATGGACCTCATGTTCTCATGAGATCCCAGATTTAGTTCATGTGTGATCACAGTCTGTATGTGAAGTGATGACGGAGAGATGCTGACATTCATACAGTGCAAATGCGGTGGAAAACAGCGTGAAATCTCTTGGCTCCAGAGTCCAGACCTGCTTTTTCTGAGGACTCGTCCGGTGATCTTAAATGAATGAACATGCTGATGTTTTGAAATGCACTGCTGAGATTCTGTATGTTTCCTCATGCAGGTAGAACAATAGATTCATATGTGTGGTTCCTGAAACAGATTTAATAACCTGCAGGTGAAGTAAATGAAACAGATTCACAGACCGGTTTCAGTTTTAAGCTGCTTTATTGGCATGACATATTTTACATCTGTATTGCCCACAAAATCAGTGTAAAGGACAAAGAAATGAAATTCGGACACATCGCTGTGGCCAGACAGTCTCATCATTATAGAAGTGCAGATGTAGAGTAAAATATACAGATATTCTGTTCTGATTCTTTAGAAACGAATGAAACTCAATCCCAGAGCATGTGTTTGAATAGACTTTTGCTGTTGATTGTTCCACTTTCATTTGTTTTATTTGTTTGCAGCTTTATTTCCCACAGTCCTCTCTGCCAGGGGTCAGAGGTCAGTTTAGGGTCGTGTTTCTGTGGGCAGTAAAAGGTATCAGATATACAGTATGTGGTGGGAACGGTTGCGTGCAGAGACCTGATTGTGTGTCAACAGTGAGGGATTGTGGGAGATTAAACGGGCTGATCCTGTAGAGACGGATGGGATTTATCCTCAAACGGAATGAGTCCTGCAGAGCATCTCACACACACACTCACTCATACGCAGTCACTCACACTCACTCACGCTCTCTCACACACACTCACTCACTCACTCACTCACACACACACACTCACACTCTCTCACTCACACTCTCTCACACACACTCACTCACTCACTCACTCACACACACACACTCACACTCTCTCACTCACACTCTCTCACACACACTCACTCACTCACTCACTCACACACACACACTCACACTCTCTCACTCACACTCTCTCACACACACTCACTCACTCACTCACTCACACACACACACTCACACTCTCTCACTCACACTCTCTCACACACACTCACTCACTCACTCACTCACACACACACACTCACACTCTCTCACTCACACTCTCTCACACACACTCACTCACTCACTCACTCACACACACACACTCACACTCTCTCACTCACACTCTCTCACACACACTCACTCACTCACTCACTCACACACACACACTCACACTCTCTCACTCACACTCTCTCACACACACTCACTCACTCACACACACACACACACTCACACTCTCTCACACACACTCACTCACACTCTACTCACGCACTCACTCTCTCACTCACACACTCACTCACACACTGACACACTCGCTCACTCGCTCACACGCTCACTCGCTCACTCACACTCACTCACACTCTCACACACACTCACTCACTCACTCACACACACACTCTCACATAATATATATATATATTAGTCGTGCGATTTTAACTGCGAGGTTTTTCTCAGTAACTGTAGAAACAGCGTGACATTAATGTTGGATTAACAGGATTCATAACGGGAAAGAACAGATCAAATTAAAAGCTACATAGAAGTTTGCTTACAAGTTAAATATCAAATGAATCCAAAGTGCTTTAGTCTTCAAGAATAAAAGTTAAAAACGTGATTTTACCACATTCAGTCCTTTATTATCGTATTTGTGCGCCAAATATTTCTGCTCATTTTCAGTCGATCAGAGTTTGGTTTGTCCTTCATTGAACTGACGAATGATTTGCGCTTCAAATCACGAAATATAAACGAGCAGATGATTCTCCATACTTAAAATGAATAAACTTGAAATCCGATGTTTAAATCATCTTTTATTCCGTTAAAATCCATCTGTCCATGAAAGGCATCATATGAGCTTCTGAAGAGAGAGAGAGCGAGAGAGAGATCCCTCCCAGTGTGTGTGTGTGTGTGTGTGTGTGTGTGTGTGTGTGTGTGTGTGTGTGTGTGTGTGTGTG